AATCCCTTGAGTTTTTCTCACTGGAGTCTGTTCATGTGAAAGGCAAACCCTCTCTATGTCTACTTGGGTAGATTTTAAGAGGCATAATTTATAGAATACAGCATGAGACAACCAGGCAGACCTTGTCTGACTTTGCTGCCTGTGACTACTGTCCAGTGGCTGAAACTATAGTGGCTTAAAAAAAAATCCTCTGGTGCCAAAATCTCTCTTGACATCTGTAACTACTAATAATGCTGTATTGGGCCAACTCATTTGCTTTGAAATTGCACTGCACTGTTATAAGTGAATGAGAGACAACCAATTATCTATAGTATAATGACACACCCCTAAGGGAGTATTATGAATTATGAAGCATCTCACTGACACAACCCTCGGTAGAAACCTGCCCTGCTTTCAATTCCTATCCAAGTTGGGAGGTGATGTTTGCATATCTTACAGCAGAGATAGATCCCTTGGTTCCAGTGGGGAGGAGGCGATGACAGCATCATGTCCCACTGGGAGACATCATGCTGAATTAAAATTAGAGAGGCAGCAAACTCAAGTGTTAAATACCTACATAGAGAAGCATCACACTCCAGAAAGCAGGCAAGGTTAAGATAGGAGATGCATATCCACTGTCATCTAACGTGATTTAGAAAGACTAAGAGACACACCACAAAGTCCATCCCGGAAATCAGCTCAGTGTACCGGGAGCCAATGCATAAATTCACAGAGGCAGAGAGGAGGCACTGACTTCCTGGAACCAAAGTAGCCCAGTCTCATTGGGGATCTGTCAAGTGGACATCAAGACAGTTAGAGCTTCACTTGGCAACCAGTACATTCCTGATTTCACTGCCACAGCAAAAGTTGGTGTGTGCTTTTCATGATTTCCCAAGAAATGGTGAACTACTTATGTTCTGGTTGGCAGGGGCATATAGGAGTCTGTTCTCTGCACTGGACCTTATCTTCTCCACACACTGGGAACTGTAGGTCTGGAGTCAGCTGACTCTAGGTTTGAATCCTGATCTTCACTGTGTATTTTCCCAAGGTGGGAATAATACATAAATCTCTAAAAGATGGTTTTATTTTAATGTTTCTAAATAGATCAAGTAGGCAATTTCAGGGTTTCAATTTGGCGATGGAATTTAAGCCAAAGAGAGACTGGCCTCACTTTCTATAAGACAAAATGAAGCTCAGTCGTGGTAGTTTTAGGTGAGCAACTATGGAGAACTGGCATTTCATAAGCACTATATCTCTTTTCTGTTTATTTTTATACTTCTAATTAGAAACAGTGTTCTTTTTTACACTGAGGCAAGGCTACCCAGCTTCAGATAAATGTAGTGCAATGCAAAAAGTGAATCAAGGAAATAATAAGCAAGCAGTATCCTAGGTGATAGAAAAGACAAGAGAAGTTATGAGGAAAGGGAAGGCACAATGTAGACTGGATCTACCCACACAGTCAGATGGGAGAGTAACAAGGAAGGAGAGCAGCCTTGTGGGAATCAGCACAATTAACCAGCAAACTACTTGCTGATTTGGCTCATAACTGGGCCAAACTGCTTGTGAAATTGGGGTTCACTTTAGTTTGTACTACTTTGTACAGGGTGGCAGAAAGACAGGTAAAGGAGCTCAGCAGTAGAGGAGAAAGTGCTCTCTTTCGAAGGAAACCTGAGAGGCTGCTAGAAGAGCATACAAGGACTTCTTGAGGACCACCATAGGAGCTGGTGAAGGAAATATGAAGTTGCTGGAGTAGTGAGCAGTGTAACAGCTAAGAATGATGCCCATGGGCTCAACTGTCTTGTTGTCATTGTGAATGCTGCCACTTCTATACCACTGAACACAGAAAAAATGAACCTGGCTGAGCTTGGGTTTTATAATAGTAGGATATTTCTGTGTGCATTCTCAGTAACTATTTATGATTGTCATCCCTCCCAGATCCCCATCCCATTTCTGGCTACACCTCTTGGGAATTTCAATGTTTTGTAGAGTGTCAACAAACAAAGTCCTTCAAGTCACCCTGCCCAAGACAAACATACTGCTGACTGCATTATCAGGAAAGCCTAGTGAAGCAAAGGTCATCTTAATTTTACATAAACAAAGGATACTTTCTTAAGTCATGTATCATTAGTCTAGATATCACTATATAAAAATTCAGTATAAAGATGGAATTTGGAAATGGAAAGGCCAGTATCAAATAAGCAAAGGGATTAAGCTAAGGACCATATGTCATGAGGGAAGTATATTTAGTTCCTTTGTATTGCAAGTTGTGGTGATGATCTTGGTAAAATTTGAAGACTATCTGTTTAATGTCCCTCTTTTCATACCAGTAACAGTGGCTACTGTACTTTTTTTGCTAGTCTCAGTACCTATATCAGACTTCTCAACAGGCCATTTAGTTAGTCTGAACAAAAGCCCATTAAAGAGAGATACAAGTTTTAATTAAAACAATGAATAGGCATGGTGCCCAATGGTTTGTATGACTGCCTAGAACAAATGTCTTTCTGGCAAGAGTTACAGTTAAATGAATTCACTTGGAAGATAGGTAAATTCAGGATTCTGCACAGAAGCAGGTAAGAAGCATGTAAGAATATTGGGTTAGACGTTAAAATCTTAATGCATGTAGATGACTGATTCTAATGTAGACCCTTATAATTCCACAAAGACCTCTGCAAAAGCCTAGACCTTCCTTGCTTCTACCTGAAAACACCCATTGTATAGGAAGCCAGAAAAACAATTTCAGCCTAATAAATTGAGCCTCAAGATGTGGGACCCTCATTTTAACAGGGCATTCCAAAGTGACACACCAGACTTGTGAAGAGGAATTAAATAGAAAACAGTGTTTGGTCATTCCCAGAGACTCGTGTTCATTACCAACCCTTTCTCTTCAGACAGAATAGAAAGTGAACAGAGGGAAAGGTTAAAAATAAAACACCAGCAATAGCTTCTGCTACACTTCACTGTATTCCTTCAAGCAAAGGAACTCTGACTCGGTGCATAGAGGACAGAATGAACTGAGCTTTACAGTGCTTGGCTGCAGTGGCCTGCCTGGACTGAGGGACTGGAGAGGCAGAGAGAAAACCAAGACCACCTGTAGGGAAGCACAAGGCTACCATAAAGGCTGGGACCAATGGCCTACTGAGGATACCAACTATCCTCTCCTTCTTGACCATCCTCTCACTGATCTTGTAAAATTGTTTGCTAGTGTCTGCATACACCAAAAAATTACATAAAGAAAAAAAAAAGAAAAAAATCTGAAACATTCAAAAATCACAGAAAAATAAAAAGGTAAATGCTATTCTAGACAATCTTGACTGATTCCTGAATGTCCTCCCTTAACCCTTGAGGAGTCCTCCTTCTCAGCTAATACCTTACTTTGTTCTATCTCTGAATGCTTTCTGTGATGGAGAAAATCACTTGGCCACACTCGGAAGGAGGCCTCAGTGTGCCCTTTCTAGCCTGATATTATCCCAAACTTCAAGTACTGACACTAGAGGGGAAGATACTCTAGGTCACTGACTAATTAAGGTATTTTAAAAGTAAGGCTGGGGAGAGGATGGCCAGTTAATCCACGTGTCTTTGAACGTCTCTGCATTTCATATCAAAGAAGTATACAACAGTTTTCTTATAACCTGCAGGGGATTCTGTCTAAGATCCCCAGTGGATGCCTCAAACCAAGGAAAGTGCAAAATCCTCTAAATACTTCGTTCTATACATATACTAAAAGTTAATTTATAAACTATAACGAGAGATCCACAATGAAGTAAAACAATTATGACAATACACAGTAGTAAGAGTTATATGAACAATCTCTAAATTCCAGAGAGGCTGATGTTACACAGATGGCCCAGAAAGGCTCACCATTCTCCTGGCTGAGCATTTTAGAGCCAATCTCCCCAGGTCTCTGGCCCTCTTGTTCACTCCAAAGTGCTCTCTTTATTATAAGTTACCCCTATCTCGACCATTCACCATAGCCTCCTAGTCCAGTTCATTGTTTCAGGACACAAGAACCTGGAGATCTCAAGGCTTTCCCTCCAGACTCCTGCCCATTCCTACAGTGGTTAGATTCAGGTAAGTCCCATATGGGTTAAGGTTTTCCTCAAGAGTTTTCAAGGCCTTTGTAATCCGCTTAGGGAGACTTGGTGTAGCTGTGTTTCTGTCCTCCTTCTAGTCACTGCTTTTGCTTTCCTGAGGCTCATCAGGAGGTCTGGGTGAAGATGGAATACTTGATGCTTTGTTACCAGATATTTGAGCCTGTTTATAGTTAGGGTGTGGCTCAGCCCTTAGCACACACCTTTAATCCCTCTGGCTGGAATACAGACACACCCTTAGCAATCACATTTAATCACAAACAATGAAGGTAAATTTAGTTTGTAAAGGAAGCAGCCACGTTTAAAAGTGATATCTAATTGAGTGGCAGACAAAGAGACAAATCAGAGAAAGATTTGACAAAATGGGATGTGGTCAACTCTCAAGAGAGAGGAAAGGGAGGCGACAAGAGAGAGACAGACAGTACAGGAAGAGATTACAGTACAGGATACAGTAGAATTCATGGAGGGCAATGCAGTAGAGTTGAGAGAGAGAGTAGAGCAGCACAGAGAGGGAGAAGGAAGCAGTTTTATCAGGACAGTATTACAGAGACAGACTGAAGACAGAACAAGCTAGACACAGGTAAAGACAGAATGAGCCAGAGAATGAGAAGCCAGAAGATTAGGAAAAAATGCTAGAGTTACTTTGAGACCAAGGAGAGCAATTCAGAGACTTAGACAAATGCCAGATTGAATCTGTCAGCTTGGAAAGGAGTTTGAGCTAGAACAGCTTTGTTGAACCAGCCAGCCAGAGCTCGGAGAGAACTAGAAAGGGTAAGCTTATTCAGCAGCAAGTCCCAGAGGCTAAAAACATTATAAGCCTTGATAAGATTGCACAGAGGCTGGAAGTGTCCAGGACTAGGCCTCAGTTAGCAGATGCAGGCAGTAAGTAGCTACTTACTACAGCAGAATAAAAGTTACTTCTACAATGTTTACCTGAAAATAGGCCCGCAGAGCCTCCGCCTCTGCAGCCATCTCCTCCTCAGATCTCCAAAAGGCTGGTGAGTCCTCTTCTTCTCTGTCATGTTTCTGGAGCTTTGGAGAAAGAAAATAGAATAGGCTCATTACAGAATCCATGAGATTTCCTTTTAATAATGTTGGAGGAGAGAGGAAGAGTGAAAATAATTTGCAAATTAGAGGCCTGTAGGTGTATCTTAATTACATTAATTGCCCGATTTCAAAAATAAAGAGTTTCACGTAAGATTTGACATTTCTTGCTTCTCTAATAGAATAACAAGGCTAGGCTGCACTGGGGCCCTTGTTGCCTTGTGCTTGCCTGATAAGCCCATGTCATACTGAGGCTGGGTAAAGTGGGAGGCTGGTGAGGATGGCATCCCACCATTCACCACAGCCTCCCTGGCTCTTCCTGCTTGTCAGGCACTGTTTGGTTATTGATTTCCTTGACTCCAGTTGTGCCTTGTCTCCAGCCATCCTTGCTGGACATCCTCCATTCCGGCATATAGTTTACCTACCATTCTCTCTGGCTTTCACTGTCTTTTATAAGCTCCAAGGAGTTGTAAGTACAGTGACTGGAAGAACTTCAGAAGCTTGACATTCATGTTTGCTAAACTGTGAATGGATTTATTTTTCATTATCTGGGTTTTGTTACTAATTTCTTTTAAGAAGTGGCAGGTTTATGAATCTAAGCGCACCTGCTATAATAGAACTTATGTGAAAACAGCATAGAATATTAACAACTTAGTTAATTCAGTTCCTCCTTAGACCATTCTCTCTGTGTATGTATCTCTGTGTATTAGCACATATAATACATATTCACAAATATATTTACTAGCATGTATATGTGTAAGACTTCTGTATACAGCGAACATATGTCAGTTCTATCAGAGAGCAGGTTTTCAGTTGAGTTTAATCTCCTATTTTATTTCAGTTTTGTTACCAAGCCTTTCCTTCCTGTGGCTTTATAAGTGCAGTAATCTGCTGTAGATGAGGCTTGTTCACAGGTTCACAGTGTAGTGATTCGTGTTACGTTGACTTGGATTGTTTAATAGTGCTGCTGATGGTGGCCAACATTTATGATGCGAAGGGCAGTGTCTCTGGTGGTCATTATCTCACACACAAAGCTTTCCATAGGTAGGAAGACACTACCTAACTCCATTTGTCCTGGAGGAAATTCATTTACTTATCCAGGTAGGTAATGCTAGAGGTACCAGCATAGTTGTCCCTAACTATTTTCCTTAATCTCGGAGAATCTATGCAAATGGGGAATTCCATAGCTAATGTCTACACTTCACTGCATATAATCACCTTGAACATGGATACTTTGAAAACAACCTTGCGAGCTCAGCAAAACATGTGGACTGAAAGAGTATCATAGAAACATGGCAAGCTGACCACTGGAAACAATGGTACAATGAAAGGGGAGAATCACTCCACAGAGATGTCCTTTGACCTCCACATGTATGTGTGGCTCCACTAACCCCAGCTACACACAGTATACACAATGCTAATAAAAATTTCCAACAAAAATAGCAATATTCATTTTCTTGGACTTCCAATAGCTCATTCTACTCCAGGGACTCCATCACCTTGGTGGCCTGCAGCAGACAGACAATTTCCCCCATTTATCTCAGAGTGACTGATGTGGAAGGCAACATAGTGTGGGAAAGATATCCTTGCTCTCCAGCAGGACTGTATTTCCACACTGAGCAAGTCTGAGCCTAAATGAGGCTCATTAGCATAAGAGTAGGCCACAAATATCTTTATGAGGGTCATGGATCTTCCTTTCAGAATTTGGCTGCCAGCACACTGGTTTTCCATTTTGCCACACAGATTTAATTCTTCTTAGTGGAATAAAAGTACATTAAGAAGTCATTTTCTTGCTCGTAGAAGCAGATATGACATAGTTGCTACGGGCAAGTCAAATGGGATTGCTATTCTACCCGAGAACTAATTTTCATTTTGCTACTACCTTTAGGTCCGTTATAAATCCATCTTCTAACAGTTTGATGGGGAAGACAAGGAGCTAGAAAACATGGCATTCCCACTGTGGCATTGCCATAGGAAGACACAGAAATCAAGCTTAAAGCAGCCTTGTCAACACAGACCATACCAGCTGATGCCAAATAATTTAGAGGATAAGAACATTAATGCTTCCTGGTTATTAGGCACCCTTCTGTTGGTATCATATGCCTTACAGATGGCAGCACATTATTTACAGGAACTAGGGAACCAATAGCAGAAACTAAACATGTTTGAGAAATTCTGTTGTACATGACTGTTATTAATAAAACTTTTGAAGACTCCGGTTGGAAGCTTGTGGTTTTCTGTAAAACAGCTCAACCCTGCATTACCAGTGGATTCATTACAAGAAACATCTTAAAAGACACACTAAGGATTCTAACTCAATGTTTAGAGATTCTGAGAAGAAAAAAAACTTAACTTTTAAAGGAAAAAGGTCTATGTACGTAGGTAAGGGCTCATATATAAACAGAAGTATGACTGTCAACTTGTATCCATGGTGACAGGAACTTTTCATAGGGTACCAAAGTCCAGAGTTGTTTAAGTCTTAGGTACAAAATTTATATATTTGCATATAACCTTTGCATATCATCTGATATACTTTCCTTCATGCAAATTATCTACAAATCCCAATATGGCACAATTGATGAGAAAACAGTCATTCTGCTTGTGGTCAGTAGAGATCTCATTTGTTTTCTGCTATTTTTGATCAGTGGTTGCTTGAATCCATAGTTAACAACCAAGGACCCAGGGCCCACCATAACTCATCTATCTCTTAGCCTATTGCTCAGGTCCTTGCAAAGTATATTGTATCTGTCCTTTGAAATCCCCAATGGAGAATGCTTTACTTTTGTTTACTGTAAGTCAAGGGGGCATCCAGAAGGCAAGATTTGTCTAAATACCTTGATGATGTTAACTAGTGCAGGAGGGTGCAGTCTTTGTAAGAACTAGGAGACTTGGGAGAGCCTGAGCGAGTAAGACTTGTTCCTTACAAGAGTCATGATGGAGACTAGGAAATTTAAACCTGCAGAAGGTTGTGAAAAGAATCTGAGGCAACCTAAGAATGTGGTTGCAGTAATCTGTCTCCAGGCTAACAAATAGGAGCTCCACGAAGCAATAGCTTATCCAAAAGGCAGATTTGCCTTGTGTAAACCATAGTTGCGGAGTTTCATTTGTAGATGGGTGTCCTGAATAGGCTGCAAGAAGGGAAAGTTAATGCCTATTTAACTATCATACCCAATATCCTATCTGTCCTTCCAGTGCCAGGAACCAGTGTTCCCTCCTGTAGTCAAAAGCACCCAAACAGGGAAGACAGGCACTAAATGGTTGATTTCTAGTGCTATAGGATTACCAAATGGACAGGTGCTGGGTGGAGGTCACCTAGTATTTACAAAGAAATGGTCTTATGGTAGCCAGGTATGCCTATAATCCCTGAATTTGGAGGACTGAGGCAGATTGGATCTCTGTGAATTTCAGGACAGCCAGGGCTACACAGAGAGACCCTGTCTCAAAAAAGCAAACACCAGAAAAGTTATGAGATAGAGGATATTATTTAAGGAGTATCTAACAAGGGTTCCCCGGTAAAGCATAGCTGTGGTGGTTTGAATAGGAATGGGCCCCATAGACTCAGGTGTTTGAATGCCTGGCCATAGGAAGTGACACTACTAGAAGATGTGGCCTTGTTGGAGAAAATGTGTCATTGTAGGGGCAGGCTTGGCGTTCTCCTCTGCTCAAGTTACACCTAGTATGGGACATAATCTCCTTCTGCCACCTGCTGATCAAGATCTAGAACTCTTGAGTCCTCCAGCAATATGTCTGTCTACATGCTGCCATGCTTCCTGCCATGATGATAATGGTCTAAGCCTCTGAAACTGTAAGCCAGTCCCAATTAAATGTCCTTTATAAGAGCTGCCATGGTCATGGTGTCACTTCACAGCAATAAAACCCTATCTAAGACAATAATCTATTGTTTAATAGTATCAAAAACAAATTCCTCTACCTCTGTTACCGTCTTTGTAAAAGGAAAGCCAATAAACACTTGTCAACAGTGCCTGGCACAGAAAGTACTTGTGACTTCTGGATGTTGCAACCATTACTTATTATCAGTGTTAGGCTAGACACACTGTTCTCACAAGTGACTATTAACTATCTCAGCAAGTTGGTGCTAGGAATAAGACGCCCACTTTCATGACTCCTTAGTATCCATGTTGTGGAACTATATACCCCACCAAATATGAAAAGTTATAGTCAGAGCTGAGGTCCCTGCTGATTAATTCTAACGACATACCATGTCTAAAACAGAACTCAGATCCTTCAGTTCTATAACTGTGCGCAATAATCCCCAGCTTCTGTTTTGGTGCAAAGAGGGAGTAAGTTTTTAACAGAGACTTCTTACAGGAAGCAAATCAGTATCCTAGAGTGAAAACACATGGGAAAGTCAAAGGCAATCCAAACTGTTCTTATAACACAGTTGCCATGTTTGATATATTCATTGTTAGTAAGACATTTAACATTTCATGAATCATCTGTGGCCATACTTCTACTAGAAATAGTGTGTGTTTGTGTATGTGTGTGTGTGAGAGTGTGTGTATGTGTGTGATAGAGAGAGAGAGAGTGTGTGTGTGTGTTTGTGTATGTGTGCATGTATGTGTGTATGTGTGTGTGTGCACATGTGTATCCTTGTTTTTATACAATGGGGAAGCCTGGTGGTCAATGCTAGGTATCCTCCATTATCACTGTATTATCTAAAAGTGTCTCACTGAGTTTGACCCACTGATTCAACTAGACTGGTTCGCCAGACAAGATGCTAGAATCTGAGAGTACGGAGTGCCATACCCAGCTTTACCCTGGGTAATGGGGACCAAACTCAGTCATCACACTTTTGCATCAAACACTCACAGCCATTTTTCCAGCCCTATGTGTTTTACTTGTCCAAAATCCAAATGTAAAAGGGCTTCCATATTTGATCTGTAACTCACCTTAGAAGGCCCTTAAAATGTTGCCATTGGGAGACTATGAGCTGCAGCTGGTAATCTGGTTGTTCCCAAATCTATTTAGC